CGAGGTCGTCTTGAGGTGTATTTGAAGGCGAAACATAGTGCTCATATTAACTCAGATTTGAGTTACTTTAAAACATTGAAGGAAAACTTTGAAAAAAGAACAACAATAAAGTCGCTATTTACTGCCCATACTTCAACTAATAATCGTGTTCTTGAAGCTAGTTATCAAATTTCTTTATTCATCGCTAAAACTGGAAAAAATCACACTACAGGAGAGAATTTAATAAAACCGTCAATATCAGAACTTTCCTCAAAACAGTTCTTGAAAAAGATGACAAAGATGTAAAAGCTATACCACTCAGTAAAAATATTGTTAGCATAATAGATTAAATGGGGGTGAAGATATTGAAAAACAACTTGTTGAAAAGCTGAAAACAAGAAAATTCTCAGTGCAAATGGATGAATCAACTTTGAGAGATAGTGAGGCTGTATTGATCACTTACGTAAGATATATTGATAAAGGGCATTTTGCAGAAGAAATGTTGTTCTGTAAAAGATTAGAAAGCACCACTACCTCCAAAGATATATTTAATAAGCTAAAAAACTACTTATAGATGTCAATGATTACCAATGAAAAATATAACATCTTGTGATGCAGATGGTGCTCCTAATATGATAGGCAAGAAAAATGACTGCTTAAAATTGATGAAAGATGCGAATCCAGAAATGATTTTTGTGCATTGTGTTATTCATAGGCAAAACTTGGTAGCTAAAAGATCTCGCCTGTTCTAAACGAAGTACTACATACTGTAATAAAATGTGTTAATGTTATTAAAGCTAGTGCCAAATGTGAGCGTCTTTTCAAGCTATTTTGTGAAGAACAAAATGAAGACCATGTGAGACTTTTACTTCATACTGAAGTAAGGTGGTTATCTATAGTAAACTGCTTGAAAAGATTTATGGAACTGTTTGATACTCTTAGTGATTTTTTGAACGACATACCAGAAATGAAGCACGTATTATAAATCGATGGGAAAGCATTTGTGAGTTATTTAGCCGATATCTTTGAAAAACTAAACATATTAACTAAGCAACTTCAAGGAACAAATAAAACTCTTGTCGATGCAAAAGCGAAGATATTTGGTTTTATTACCAATATCGAGTTATATGTATATATATATATATATATATATATATATATATATATGTAAAAAACATATTAACAACAACAACTTGGAACAGTTCCACTGGCTCAAAAAATGTGAAGTAACTGATACCGCTTTACTTGTTCTTGTAAATCATTTGAATAATTTATCGGTCAATTTTAAAGAAAGATTTTTTGATTTAAAACAAATTGATTTCTCAACATGGATGATGCATCCAATGTTAGTGGATTTGTCTGATATATCAAATATGCAGTATCCAGCAGAACTCACCGAATTGCAAAATGATGATTCAGTTAAAACTTTATTTAGTATAAAAGGTGCGATGGTATGGCTTTTTGAGGAAACGGAAATCAAATACCCAAACTCATCCAAATGCGCAAGAAAGCTATTACTACCGTTTCCATCTTCATTTTTGGCTGAATGTGGATTTAGTGGTGTAAATGATTTACTGATAAAAAAAAGAAATCGGCTGGATATAACACAACGTGGAGATTTGAGACTTAAGCTAACCAAATTGGAACCCAATATAAAATCTATCTGTAGCAAGCATCAAGCGCAAGGATCTCACTAAATTAAAATGACAAATTAATATGGAAAATCATTATATTAAAATTATTTTGAATTTTAATTTCTGTTTTTCATTATATAATTTGAAATTTTACTTACTGTGTTTTGTTAACAATTTGATAGTGATTTATTCCTAGAATCCATCACTTATGTTTCTTAAGTGAACAAATCAATTTTTTTAATATTAAATATAATGTATGTTACATATGGGGGGCATACAAACTTTAGAAATGTTAAAGTGGGACATGGCACAAAAAAGGTTGGGAAATACTGGTTTAGAGGTTCAACTAGAATTTTTGAAAAATATAACTTAGAAGTGGGTTTATTCATATTTTACGACAACAGAGGGAAGCAATTTTAAGAAAAAACGCGAATAATTATTTCAATTGGTGGTAACTCTGAAAATAATGTGAATTTTTCAAAAATTCTAGTTGAGCCTCTGTAGAGAGGTCTGAGTTATATACAGGCAAAATATTATTATAATAGAACAATTTTTCACAAAAGGAGAGCATTTGGGGAAAAAATATTATTCTAAGTTAATTTTTTGCCAAAACATTATATTTAAATAAATTTTTTTTGTCAACATGTCCTTAAAACAATTTTATGCATGTATTCTAATCGATTCTATCGTAAGGCATGTATATACTCAGCAATGTCCCATTCGGTTAACTCATTATTGCGTCGCTTTCTGTAAAAAAGATTGTATTAATTTTTATCTCTAAAACATTCGTCCAAAATTTATATGACATTTTTTTAAATTTAATTTTCAAAAATATTTCAATATATTTATATGCACAAAACAATTTTTGAATTTTTAACGATCTGTGTAGGCTTGTGTCTTATGTAAGAAAAAAAAATTACTAGAACAGCAGCATAAGTGTTGTGGATTGAATCATAAGATAAAAAACCCCCTATAACTGTCTTGTGACGACTGATTCGAAAATAAGCCTTAAGTATTATTTTTCTGTTATGTTATACATAGTAAAAATAGGTTTTTTGTAGGGAAAACTTATCATTAAAAACCCATTAAGAGAAATCATAATTTATACTGCTCTTGCTCGAAAAAAGAATGAGCCATTTTCTGATTATGAGCTGAAAGAGAACCATTTTTGTTACATGATACGCCATTAAAAATGCATCATGTTTTGCAAAATTCTTTTGAACACTATCATTAAGATATCCTTTATTCAAAAATCAATGCAAAAAATAACATCCCCTGTTGATATTGTGCACTAGTTTTTTTAATATTCACAACAAATGATTATTATTGCTTGAGCTCGTTGAGAATGCGTATTATTTTCTGTGTAACACTAAAGTTAATTTTTCATCCTATAAAATATTTATCTGTTTCCTTATATTTTTCAGAAAGTATTTTGATATTTAGTTACAGAGAGAGCAATATATCAGAGGGTTTTCAAGCTTAAACTACTGACTTGAGTTTCACTTGTTAGTTCTCGAAATGAAATTTTACTGGAAATTAAACCGTCAGAAGAAAGTAAAGGCCTCCAATAGTGCGTTTCGTTGTGTCTTTACGATTTTCAGTATTTTCGGCATTTATGTTGAAGACAGCAAGAACAAAGTTATAAATTTTCTAAAGCACCTGCACATGATTTTGTCTATTGCTATAATAACATACCAAAGATTCGTAGCGGGTTACATTTTTATTCTGATGGGGAAACAACACACTAGGTATGCGACTATCTTTTCATTGCTTAAGATGTTCGACTTCGTCATTTTCATCCTCATGGTCTGGAACAGAAAGGTTTTCGTAGAAGTTGCAAAACAAATATCTTCATTCGCTATCCGCATGCACATATCGGGACTAAAACTCAAAAGCGTCGTCTACAAAGCAAAGAGAATCAGTTTCATGTGGTTGCTCGCTCACATCTTCATGATGATCGCAACTGTTCTGCTTTTTAACAAAAAACAGAGAGGAGCTTTGGGGATTTTCAAGGCATACACCTTCAATCTAGTGGATAGTGAGCTTCTGCAACAGCACAAGGGCCTTCTTCTCTTCGTTGCTGGTGTTATGACCTTCATGTGGAACTTTGCCTCAATGCTTTTCGTGTCTTTTCATTCGATTGTCTGCTTATTTCTCTCTTCCATTATTGATACCCTCAACAAGAAAATTGGAATGGTCAAAATGGACGAGATTAGGGAGCTGTTCGATATCTTGAACTACGTGGACATTATGATCCGGTATGTCGACAGAAGCATATCTGTGTTGGCGTTCTTTACGTTTCTCAACGTCTTAGGAATCTGTATTGAACTTTCAACACAACATTTAGCCTTCATTGATGGATTCAAGATGATTTTTCTACTCTACAATTTTGCTCTGTCCCTACATCTGGTCATATGGGCAGCGGAAGTGGACGACATTGGACTGAAGTTGCGAATGTCGGGCCACGGCATTTCTTGGAAAAAGCCCCAGTTTGCAAAAGTAAGGTTCTTGTTAATCACAAGGATTAAGAACCTGAAGACCACACTCACGCTCTGGAGAATTGGAAATTTGAACAAGAATTTCATTTTGACTTACTGCAGCAAATTCCTGTCGTATTTCCTTATTTTAATTAGTTTGTAAAAATCGGTACAGCTGAGATTTGAACGCGAAAAATGATTAAGTAAACAAAAGGACTCGTATTTCTTTCGATTTTTGCTTTGAATATAAATAATTTCTTTGCGTATTGTATTAATAAAAAGTATTTCCTTTAAATCAAACCAATATGTGTTCCTTTATTCTTTCATAGGGCGTCTCTCTCAAACTTCATCCATAATTAAATGTGAACATGTCTATTAAAATTCATATCACAAATAGACGACCATCTCACAAATTTATTTTAAGGAATAATCTATTTAATGTATAATGTAACCATCCTGTAATTTATTAATAACTTTTTTAACGAACTGGTTTTTTCTCTCTACTTAATTTTCTGTTATATTTTATTTAACCATAAATATTTATTGTTGTCCTACCCCTCACGAGTTTTATATGCAACTGCTAATCACGTGTTTAATAATTTTTTACTCACCAGAGGTTAAAATTTTAAAAGTAAATAAGCACGAAAACTATTTTCCAATTGTCAATAATTTAAATTATGTGTCTCTCTCAGCAAAATAGAAATTTAAAAAAACCCAGTGAGAGTTTTTATAAGTATATTATAACTCAAAAAAAGTTTTTTAATAAAGTACAAATACATTTTTTTAACTTGTAGAGCATGACACTTGGATGTTATTACAGTTTTCTCGAATATTAATGCATTAGTTAAATTAAAAAATGAATAATTAGTAAATTCCTACAATATATATAGAAAGGACAATCGTTTGCTGTGCCCCTGTAGAGCATTGGATAGCGCGTTGGACTTCTAATCCAAATATCGTGGGTTCGAGTCCCACCTGGGATGGCATAAATTCTGGGAAAAAACTTCCGTTTTTACTATACTATTTTATTACAATAATTAAATTTAATTAATGAATAAATAGTAACAAAAACAAATAGTCCAACACCCTATATAGAAAGGAAAATAGCTTTCTATTTTGTCACTTGATATTGTGATTCTCTCATATGTACATACATATTTATATTAATTTTGTAACTATTTAATATAAAAAAACTAAAATAAAAAAAATTTTATTAACTAAAAAGGAATTGTGTGACTTAATTTTTTTATAATACTTGTATTTCAATAAAATTTAAATTTTGTAAAATATAATTTTATTGTAAATATTAAAATGTTCTTTATTTGTTTAAATAATGCAGGACTTATCAAATAAAATATGGAAATATATAACTGATTGAGAATAATTTTACCAATGTAAGCACAAGTACTGTGTGCATTATAAGTAATGGGATTTTAAATAAAGAATGCAATGTATTTTAAATGAAGAACCAACAATTAAAGGTTTTATTTGTAGATGAAACAATTTTAATATAAATTTCGATTTAAGCACAACCAACTTGAAAAAAAAATACTGAAATTTGTTCATCAGCTCTGTTGTTTGGTACTAATATCTCATACATAAAAATTACCATTTTTTATTACATTATTTCTAAAAACGAGCAATACATAGCTAAAGGAGAATGTATCTCAAAAATATTATTTTAAATATATTTTTATTAAATTTTCCTTTATAACAAAATGAAATGACTACGCGGTGGATTATTTCTTCAACTTATATGAATAACGTACATCACAGAAATAATAAAACAAATTTTTTGAATAAAATGCGTTTAAGAGTCCTTAAACAACATTACTTTGTAGATTTGAATAGGCATCAAAAGTTTAAATTAGGAATAGTCACCAAAAAAAAAAAAAAAAATGACGAAAAAGATTTTTCTTTTTTTTTAATTCCTAATGCTTTATTGATGTTTTAAGCCGCTTATTTATAGAAAGTTTGAAAAAATGCTTTAATCCCTTTTATAATATACCGACGGGGGGGAAAATCCGAACACCAAGAAAAAAATTATTGTAGAGTAATGAAATTTGGACAATTCAATTGTCTAGTTAACATGTTTAAATGATTAAATTTTCAGGATCACTGATTAATTTAAGCTCAAGAAAATGCATTTCAAATGTGAAATGATGTTACATTAATAGACGGTGTAACCTCCAGAATTTTGAATGCAAGCCTACAAGCGTGCAACATTGTGTCATACAGGTGCCGAATGTTACTTTGTGGTATGGAGTTCCATACTTGTTGTACTTTTTCAATCGATGCTGGAGTTGTCGTCCAATGATATCCCATACGTGCTCAATTGGAGATAGATATGGTGATCTCGCAGGTCAAGGCACATGACAACTCTCTGTACATGTTGCGTTTCAACAACGGTAAGAAGGCGAGCGTTATCCTGATGGAAAACTCCCCTTCCAGTGATGTTGATGAATGGCAGTACTATAGGAAAAATTACCAGACTGACGTACAAATTTGCAGTCAGTGTGTTTGGGATAACCACGAGAGGGCTCCTTCTGTCACAGGAAATTGCTTTCCAGACCATGACTCCAGGTGTAGGTCCAGTGCGTCTAGGTCGCAGACAGTTTAGTTGCAGGCTTTCTCCTGGATTCCTTCTGACCAACACACGGCCATTAGTGGCCCCAAGGCGGAATCTGCTTTCATCAGAAAACTCAACAGATCTCTCCTTCGTCCTCCCAGAGGCTGATTTTCTTTGATTGGTATTAAATTCGTTGTATGGCTTCATCTTTAATTTGGGTTTGACACTTAAAAATTTATAATTTTTGTTATTATTTACTCCTAAAGAGAGGTATAATTGCAAATTTCCTGAGTGCTCTGTATATACCATGAGTGGTCAAATTATTACGACCACCCTTTCAATAAAATAATAGACCCCTTTTCCCCTTCAATACTGCATGGAGTTTTCTTGAAATATACTCTATGAGATGTTGGTAAATGGTATGAGGAATCTGAGACCCTCAAAGATGAATTGCTCTTTCCAATGCCTTCAAATTGGATAGCACTGGATCTAGTTGCCCGATGCCCTGTTCCATTAATCCTACAGATTTTCAATTGGATTTAGATCTGGAGGTTGTGTGCATGACAACCAAGCAAGGTAAATTCTCTGTCAGGCACTTCGAGTCATTTGTAGACAATGCCAGAAGTATGACAGGAAGTTTTTATTCTGCGATAACATTTAAATACCCATGGGCATTAAGACATTTTCCCACACGAATCAAAGAACTCATGCAATGCCAAGAAAACATTTTCCGAACCATAACATCCGTAACTTCACTCTGCTCTCTCTCTCCCTACATACACACTGTCATATGCATGGCATAGTTGAAAATACGATTTATCGAACCATATGACCCTTTTCCAACCATCTACTCTCTAATTTTGTGCTTTTTTGCGAGCTGGAGACGTTTGTTCTTGTCCATGCCAGCAAAGAAAGTTTTTAAATTAAAAAGAGAGAGGTGACTATCACAGCCTATACAGAGTAATATGAGGCAAACAGTTCGTTCAGACACATTTGCAGTTGCTACTTCATTAAGTAATCTTTGCCCAACATACAAGAGCCGAAACTAAGCGCGAAGCAACTTTTCAGACAGAAAAAATGTTATTAACTCTTCAATGAAACTTTATAACATTATATAATTCCTAAATCTCTCTCTCTATATATATAATACAACGTTTCTAAAATTTTAAAAGATTCCATAAATGCTTTCGACTCGGATAAAAATGAGAAACATGATAAGATATGCTGCTCTCTATAGAATAGTGAAGCCAGTATATATAATAGTCAAAACTCCATATAACGAACCTTTATATTGCGAATTTTTCTATATAGCGAACTTTTACCAGGAATCTTGAACATTTCACGATTTTCTTCGCAAAATAACCTCTCTATAGCGAAGTACATCTTCTATATAAGGAATTTTCTTTTAGTGATTCAATTTTTGTTCTTCCTTTTTTAAAAGTATTTCTGAAAAAATCTCAAGTTATTTTCTCTTTACCACATTTTATGGTGGTCATAAATCTTAAAACTGGTTTTATTAGAACCTAACTCGCCGAGAGCAATATTCTAGACGTTTCATCCAAGAAGTGCAATCTTTAACCCCCATTGCGCAGTTCACTAGAAACATCTTCGATATCCTCTTTCCCCCTCAGTGGAGTTGTCCCCGAGTTCTAATTATAAAATAATGTCTGTTTAATACTACTTGTATGCTTAAAATTATAAAATGTCCTTAATATTCATTAATTTTAGTATAAAATTATTTTCTTAATATTGAAAATACAGTGAATTTCTTCGACATTCTTTTTTCTTGTTTTCCTTGCAGTTTTTCTTTCTTACTTTTTTGATGGGTAAGATATATAAAATAAACATATATATATATATATATATATATATATATATATATATATATATATATATATATATATATATATATATATATATATATATTAATTTTAAAAAAGGTGTGAGTAATTACTTTTTTTTTTTTAACATATAGTGTTTATGAATTTAAAATTTGTTTTACGTGCTTTATAAAGTATATTAATTGATGAACCTCTACATAACAAATTTTCCATATAACGAACGTTTTCCCGGGATATAGCGACTTCATTATATAGAGGTCCGACTGTAGTTATATTTCTGGTTTTTTTGTTTTTAAGGGGACACATTACCCTAAAAATGACGATTTTAACGAATTTTTTTTTTTATTGCCTTATTTTAGTTGTGTGACTTTTTTAAATATGTTTATAAAATTTGGTAGCTGTAGCTGCATTATTTTGCGAGTTATTTAAATTTTTTTGACAGTATGTTGAAGCGAAACCGAAACTAAAAGACATGCCGTCTACTTCTTATGCAGACGCTATCATCCTAGCCTAAACAATTTCGATTGATTTACTTTTACACGCGATTCTAAAGCTTTATACTTTAATTAGAAGAAAAGTGAATTAATTCGTTTGTTTTTGTGCAAGAGAGAAACGTTATTCCATTTTGCTTTGCATCCTTTTTTTCTTATTCTAAAACCATTAGTATCAAAACTAAAGGCTTTTTTCTCAAAGCCAATTATATAATCAATTTATTTCTTTATAATTTTAAATATTCGTTTGAATATCTTTTTACTAATAAGTACACTTTAATTCATCATGCCTAGACAAAAGCGATCGAGTCTTGTTAGTAAACAAAGAGCTAACAAGAGATGGTGCAGTGAACACTACAGTCATGAAACTGATGTTTTCAGAAAAGATGAAACTTCTATTTCCTCAGCATTACCAGAAAGAAATATGAGATGCCAAACTTTAGAAGACAACTGCTTGAATGATGATTTAAATTGTTGTGAAAATTCTGAAGCCCCTCATTATGTGATAATGGATGTACAGTTTTTAAAAGGACTTTTAAAAAACTTATTGTGTGATGTTTGCAAATCGTATTCACTAAAAATTGACATTGGTTGAAAGCTTGGATTTTCCAGAAAAATCTCTGTATTTTGCACTTCTTGTGATATAAATAAATCAAGTAACTTTACATCCAGACGAATTTCTGACAGTGAAGGTACTGAAAACCAATCATTCGACATAAACATGCGCATAGTGCAATCATTTTTAAGTTTTGGAAAAGGCTATTTAGCTATGGAAAAATTTTGTATGTTAATGAATATGGATTTACCCTCAAGCAGAACATTCAATATATATAAAAAAAGTTATGTAAATCTTTGGTTAGATCTACAGTAAAAAGCTTGAATGATGTTCGAAGTCAGGTGAAAAGTGCTTATCAAAGTAATAGTGCCATTACTGATATAGATGTTACTTTTGATGGTACTTGGTTGACTCGGGGACTTGGTTGACTCAAATAGGTGTAGGTTGCGTGATTGACCTTCTTACTGGATTTGTCATGGATTTTGAAATTATATGTCAAAACGCTGCATTGAATGTGAACACGCAAAAT